ATATAGATGGCAAAAATAATGTTTAGAAATTAAACGAGCAAAAGCAGACGAAAGGAAAGATGGGTAAAAAGACGAAGCCTAATTCTGCACCCAATTGTATGTGCCTCAAAATTCCACACACGCACATATTTACATTGAAAAAAAAAACCCTGATATAATTAACATGTCTAAAATTATGGAACCAGACCTACATGCTAACGGTCATTTAAAGTCAATAAAAAAGACAAAAACAAAAAATTACATAATTACCCTCAATCAATAACCACATCGTGTGAAACAACCATGTATATAAATGGTTTTTGATTTGTCCAAGGGGTTTGTAGAGTTAACACCATTTGTTTGGTTAACAAATAATGTTCCCTCTATATGTGTTTTTGTGTGTGTGCGTGTGTATATATATATATATATATATATATATATATATATATGGGGTTGAGTTTCCGTGAAAATGAAAATCACGGTGAAAATGGTAGAAAAAGATCTCCACCGTTAAATCAAAATCTTAATTGAAAAGAACTACTAGATCAACACTAATGAGATACACTGAATTAATTTCATTCTAAATCATAATTTATAGATTGTTTTGTGATTAAAAACAATTAAGGTTTCGAATCGCTTTTTACACTTCTAACCTTTCTTATTATCACATGATCCATCATATATATATATATATATATATATATATATATATATATATATATATATATAAGGGCCTATTCAAGGGATAACTGAGTTGTTTGTGGTAACTGTGAGAACTCATCTTAACCACAAATCAACGGATAAATAAGGAAATTAGTAATTATGGTAATTTGAGTTAAAATTATAATTAAAGGACATTTTAGGTATTTTTAAAAAACTCCTCTCTCCGACCTCCTATCTCCGGCCTCCGGTGAACATTAATCCGGCAGGTACCAATGTATTACCAATTGGGGTACCACCATGTACCACAAAATTTTCACTGTCTCCTCCTTTCCCAATCCATCTTCTCCGGCCACTCTGTGATACACATTACCCAATGTATTACCAATTGGGGTACCACCATGTACCAYAGAATTTTCACTCGTCTCCTCCTTTCCCAATCCATCTTCTCCGGCCACTCTGTGATACACATTACCCAATGTATTACCAATTGGGATACCACCATGTACCACA